CTGTAATCACACTTGGTTAGCTCGAGACTAATTAGTCACTCAATGTCATTTATGTGTCATGAAGATTGCTTCCCAAATTGCCAGTTTATTTAGACTTCACTAATAATTATTTCACAGGAGTTTTTTTAACCACTGTTCATTTGCATGTGTAGAACTCACTTGTTGAGAGTGAACTAAGAATGGATTTTTTTTTTTTTGAGTTAAAGTTGAACTGGAATGGCACTTTATTGTACCTTGCCAGATCGCTCCTTCTACGGTAAGCAACCCCATGCAAGAACTGAATGTTGTCCCTTTAAAAGCGTCTGGTGGCCTGCTGTGTTTATAATCCTCAAGTCCCATGATTCGGTCCCACCTCCCAGCCTTGCTCCACACACTCCTGCTCACCTTTGGTTTAGATTTGACTTTTCTTTGCTTAAGAAGAACAAGATTTATTACTAGCCAGAAGCCAGCAAGCCCCCACATTTAGGAAAAATAAATAAATGAATCCTCGTCTGCCAGAGTGAACCATGCTCTGGTTCCACTGGGTCTTCTGAAAATGGTCACACAGATCAGATCCTGCTGCTTTGCATGTATCTAGAAAGTGTCAGCTTGTCCAAATGCTTCTATCCTTTGGCTCATGTGATCCCTGAAGTCACCTTCTGAAGTGTTTTGGGAGGAAAAGGAACAGGTCATTCATGCATTAGTTAATGCTTTTTTATTGAGAAGGTGTATCTGCCAGAGACAGGGGATTGTCAGGAACTGAGAGCTGGTATTCACAGTGTCTAAGACAAACAAGTCCCTGTCCTCAGGTAGCTTAGAGATTGAGGGGTCATTGAGCCCTCCCGTGATGAGGCCTTCTTTCACTTACTACTCACAGCAGACTGTGAGAGAGGTCTTATTAACCTCATTTTGTAGATGAGATAACCAAAACTCCCAGAAGGTCAAGTGACCTAAGTAAGGTCACCCAGCTGATCAGGGACTCAGCCATAGCTCAGCTCCGGGCTTCCTCAATCCACGGGCTGCCAGTTGTGTCCTGGATTCTTATCCAATAGTGTGACCTCATGTCAACTCGGATCAATTCAAGGTCTCTTTTCCAGTTTCCCACATCCCTGGTTTGGGCTTAAAAAGGTAACTGGTGCAACACACAACAGATACTGAGCCTCTCAACTTGGTAACTTTAAGGATTTAAACTTTATAGAGGCTCTAAGAGGAGCAAGGAATGTCTTTGTGAGATGGGGGGGTCTTGGCGGGGGGGTTGGCGGTGGCATCTGGGGTGGGAAGAGGATGACCCGGTTCTTTCAGAGAAGGTGGTCCAGGAGTTCCCAAAGGTTGGCCTTGACTCAGTCGGTCGCTAGGTCAGTTTGAAATGAGTCACTTGTAGCATGGGGGCAAACAACCTCAGTCCCTCACTAAACTATCGGGAAGCAGGCCCGCAGAGTATTTCCTCCTGGGAGAATAATCCTAATCACAACCCCTAGAATTTGCATGGCTCTCTAGAGTTTGTAAAACATGTTCACATCTGTTACCTCATGTGCTGATTGTTAACTGCACAGAGGCCAAAGGGACCAGGGTTCGAGAAGACAGAGTCAAGTGGTCTTTATGTATTTTTTCCAAAGTCCACTCCTTTGTCAGAATGAAATCTCCCACAATAGTCTAGTGTATAAAATTGATGAGATTGGAAGTCATCATTGGGATGGGGACGGGGTGGCGGGGAGGCACAGCCCACGCCGAAGCCTTTGCTTGGACCCCTGCGTCTGTTCCTGAGGGATCTCCCAGGAACCTGCAACTTCCATGAAACCCAGTGAGAAACAGTGTTGCAGTGAACACCCATCCCATTTCACTCGCCTCCTCCGAAGAAAGAGAGCTGAAGGCCGGGGGGCTAACCAGACAAGTCCAAGGTCACTCCTGAGCCAGTGCCCTCGCCTTGCAACTGTCCAGGGCTGCTTTCTCAGGTGGGTAGAGTCTGAAGATCTTCCTGGGGGCCAGTGTGCACCCAGGTGTCTCAGGAAGGTGTCCTCTTGGTAACAGACACCTCTGCCACTACTTACCCGCTTTTCAGGTGGGGCTCGGGGTCACCCCGGGAATCATGGGGCGGGTGGCATAGTGGTTGGCGAGTAGGGCCAGTAATTTGTCAGCCCCAAACACTCTCCCTGGGAACGCAAGAAGAGCAGCCTGTAGTCAGGCAGGCTCTCCCCGACTCAAAACCTTACGCAGAACTGGACAGTGGTTATTATTGGCTGAACGTCTGTTTCCCCCAAATTTACATTTTGGATTCTTAACCCCCAGTGTGATGGTACTTGGGGGTAGGGACTTCGAGAGATAATTAGGTCTGGGGGATGGAGCCCTTATGAATGGGATTAGCGCCTTTATGAGAAGGACCCGGGATCAAGCTTGCCCCCTTCCCTGCCCGGGCTCAGTCTCAGTCTCTGTCTCTCCCTCCCTCTCTCACTGTCTCCACCCCCCTCTCTGTCTCCCTCCCTCTCGGTCTCTGGCTCTCCCCATCATGTGAGGATAGAAGACAGCCATCTGCAAACCAGGAAGCGTGTTGTCAGCAGAATCCAGCCTTGCTGGCCCCCTGATCTGGGACTTCCCAGCCTCCCGAACCGTGAGAAATAACTATGTGTTGTTTAAACCCCCCGTCTGTGGTATTCAGCTATGGCAGCCAGAGCGGGCCAAGCCCGGGTGATGGCTGCGCAATTCTGTGAATGTCCTGAGAGCTACCAAATGGTTGAAAGGCTAACTCTTACTTTCGGTGTATCTTAGCACAATAATAAAAGTAGTAACAATAACAACAGCAGCAGCAACAACAACAATAATTAAACTTATATTGGCTCCCTATTTCCTAAGGGTCAAGTTCAAACTCCCTGGTACAGTCAATGACCTGAGCCGGGGCCACCTGTTTGCTGTCCCCCTCTCAACATCTTCATCTATTTGAATATTCAAGCCACTGTAAACGGCTCTCCATTGCCTGGACAAGTCATATGCTTTTACTTTTCTGCGCTCACTCACAATTTTGCTTTTAGTCGTAATAACAAACACATCTATGGTGCTTACTATATGCATATACATACATATAGCTAGGGCTTAATAAGTGCAGGACGTTTGAGTCATTTAATCCTCCCCAAGTCTATGAAGTAGACACTGTTATTTAACCCCATGTTAGACGTCAGAAAACTGAGGCACAGAGAGGCTAATTTACTTGTTTGAGGTCAGCAAGGCAAGGTACGAGGCCAGGCGTTCTGGCTCCTGAATCCTTGCTGTTAGTCGCTGCAGAGTACTGCCGGTGGATGGTGGAGGCCTTGTCCTTGCAGTTTTTCTGAAGAATTCCTCCTCCTCCTTTAAGACCTGGCTCGAATATCACCTCCACTGTGAAGCTCCCTGGTGTTCTCCCAGGAAAGGGGGGGACTCTCTTCTCTGGGATGGCTAGTACGCTGCTCATGGGTATTTTGCAGTGCATCTCCTATTGTGTGCTAACAGCCGGCTTGTGAGTCTGATTCTCTACCAAACTGTGGGGCCCCTGAAGATAGGGCAGATATTACTTATCTTGATACCCCTGAGCACTCACTACATGTTTGATGAATAAGGGATGGCTACATGCACTTTCTCTCAGTTTTTCAACTTCTTCCCATAAATAACAAAATCAAAAGGGAATTGTTCTGGCTCAGAAATTCTCTAATGGCTCCTTCAGGATCTTGCCACAGTCACTGACAACATTACCTTTTTCGGTGTACCCCTCCAGGCAAGAAGGCCATTCAGCTACACTTTCGGTGGTCCACATCAACAAGAAATACTGCTTTTTGATTTTCAAATATGAAATCACTGTATGTTATAGGTAGATACGAAATTATAATGCAAAGAATGATTTTTCTAACTCAAAATGCCTCTCCTGAAGAATAGGACAATCTTCCTTCCCTTTCTGAGATGTATTGGTTAGGACGAAGGAGGGAAAATGGATTAATGTTTGCATAGATAGGAGTCTAAACAGGAGCAAGAGAGGATGGGTGGATGTGTGGTGGATGTGAGGATGGGGAAAATGGTGAATGGATATGTGGATGATGGGTGGACAGACGGTGGATAGATCCGCTGATGAACCGATGTGGCTGGCTGGCTGGAGAAGAGGACAGTACATAGATGGCTGGATGTAGGTCTGTGAAGACATGTGGGAAAGGACGTATGGGAAGGTGGAGGAGCAGTCGTGTGGGAGGGTGACTGGATGGCTGGTTGGATGGATGGGTGGAAGGGAGGAAGAAAGGATGTGTGGCTGGATAAGTGGGTGGAAGGGAGGATGGGTAGACAGGTGAATAGGAAGGTGGAAGGATGTTTGGGAAGATGAATGAGTATGGGTGACTGGATGAACGGGTGGATGGACCCACGTGCCAGCCTGGGACTGGAAGATGACACATGGGTTGGAGGAGGGAACTAGCAGCCCCAAGGCTGGTCATCCTTAGCTTTCTCTGAGCAGCCCTGATAAAAAGCAAAACTTCACCAGAACCAGGAGAACTTCTCTTCTCTTTCAGGCGAAGAAGGAGCTTGTCCTCTCCCCCTTGGGAGGAACCACAAACTCCTGACGCCTCCTGCCCACCGTGAGCACGGGAGCACCCCTATCCATGCAGGACCTCCTCGCCAGGAGGCCATCTCCTCTCCCAGAATATCCAACCGCCTCTGAAACCCAGAGACATCACTCCCCAGCCCGATTCACAGAGAAACTCAGCAGAGAGGAGGGGTCGGAGGCTGAACCTGAGGCGGCTAGGTTTCGGGACCCACTCATCCCCCTTGTGGGTCCTGAGGCCTCCCTCCCAGCGGGCCGGGAGCAGACACCGGTGCGTCCCGGGGCGCACGGGCACCCCGGCCCTCCCGGCGCCCGCCCAGGCCGCCCGGATTTACGGTCTCGGCCGAGCTCCGGGCGGGGGCGGAAGGGCCAGCGCGGGGGAGAGCTGCTACGTCTTTAAACCTCTGCCGGCTGCTTAGTCACAGCCCCCTCGCTTGGGTGTGTCCTGCGCTCGCTCCCTCCTCCCTCTTAGGTCACTCTTTCAGCCCTTGAATAAAAACAGCACCCAACTTCCCAGGCGCCCTCATTGCCCAGCCGGACCCCAGCCCCTGATAGGTTCGGTCCGGCCCGCTCGCCCCGTGTTCCGCCGGCCCCCGCCCAGCGCACCGGACCCTCCGGCGCCCCGCGCTCGCTCTCTCGGTTTGCTCGCACCATGGACAAGTTTTGGGGGCGCTTAGCCTGGGGACTGTGCCTCCTGCAGCTGAGCCTGGCGCAGATCGGTGAGTGCCGCGGGGGACAGCGGGAGGGAGTGGCCGGGGCGCCCCGGAGGGACCCAGCAGCCACCTGGCTGAATTGGCCCCGGGGACCGGGGACCGGGGACCGGAGGCGAGCCGCGTGGATTTGGTTCAGGACAGCGGGGTTAGGTTTTGCGCTAAGCCCTTGGAGAGTGTGCTGGTGGGAAGCACGGTTTTGTTGAAAGGAAAAGAGAAAGAGCCGAGGAAAAGTTGGTTGGGCAGGCTGCCGGCGCGCCGTTTTGGGTGAGGTCGCTGGGGCTGGAGCACAAGGCAGAAAGTAACTGTACTCCTGGGTGTGCGCAACCGGTGTCTGGACGAACAGGCTCGTGCGCCCAAGGGCGCTGGGAGCCTGGCTGGGCTGTGGCTGGGCAGGGCCGAGCTAGGCGGGGCAGGGGCTGCTCGCCAGGTGGCCGGAGAGATGGTGGGGGGACGGCTGGTGGCAATGAGCTTTCCAGAAAGGGGTGCGGGCGCCCTGCAGCTCCCCACTGCGCCTGGGTTCCAAAGCTCTTACAGTTGGCTCCAGTCGCTGCTTGTGGGAACTTGAACCAGCTCTGTGAGGTTCTGGGTTTCCACGAGGTGCCAGCCTGGGGCAGGGAGTGTGAGGAGGAAAGGCAGTGACTGAGCCAGCTACTCAGTCCTTGCAAACCTCCTGCTTCTGCCAATCAGTTAGGGGAAATCCAGACAGTAATGTGGCTCACATTCCCTGCCTGGCAGCCTCAGAGCAAGGAACAGAGCCTGGACATCGGGGTGGTGTTAGGGACCCTGGAGCTGGGGCTAACAGTACCCCAACCAAACAGGGTCTGTATCTTCAGTGGCTTTGGAGTGGGTGGCCGCGTGTGAGGTATTCTGGTGAGACTAAACTCCAAGTGTTCCTTCCCTTTGTCTATATATGTACAGATAATTACATGGCTGATTTGCTTATTGCTAGCAAAATTAGTTTTTCTTTTAAGAAGTGCCAGCTGGGTCATTAAGACAGCTCAGCCTATGGTTAATTCTCCTCAGCAAGTATTTATTAAACCCCACTCTGGGGGTACCAAGAAAGAAAAGACACAGTCTTACCTGGGTACTTTAGGCTGGGGCCAAGTGAGGATCGAAGATTTAGATTCGGGAAACAGAAATAAAAATGATGATAATAATACTAATAGAAGAAATGCCAACACCAGCCCCCGTTTGCTGCACACTTTCACGGTGCCAGGCGCTGTGCTGAATCTTTACAAGCGTTAACCTTATTTTACGCTCACAGTGAACCAGTGAGAAGTGTCCTGTTACTAGCCTTGTTTTACAGGAGGGAAACAAACCGAGGCTCAGAGAAGTTAAGTAACTTGTCAGTTTTCACACAGCCAGAAGGATTGGTGCACATGTGAACTCAGGTCCATGAGCCTATGCTTAGTGGGAATATGTTAGACCGTACGTATGGCCCAGACATACTTGGAAAGAGTTTGGGGACGGAGGGTTGAGGTGGCTTCCAAGGCGAACTGAGCTCCAACAAGCCCTTGAAAGGCAAAAACGCTCGGGATGCCAGAGAAGAGAAAATCTGGAGTGCAGGGAGAACCCTGGGCCCGGCCTTCTCGGGAGCTCCAGGGAAGTTTCTTTGTGTATTACCTTCCAGTGATGTCTTCTGTTTTGTTTCTGAGGATCCTGATTTCTGACTCCTTGCAACCGGTTTCCCTGATTCTTCTGAAGGGCCCCATCCCCAAATATTTGACGCTGTCCTGACCCTTGAGGTTCTCCCAGAGACCGGAAGGCTCACTCCTGCCCCACGTTTTCATGGTCTTTTCGGGCAGCATCATTTGGAGGAAGCATGAAAAAGTGCCAGGGGCTTGGCTTTTATGTGCTTGTAACATTGTTTGGAGGGAACTGAGACTTGGAAGGGAGACGAGACTTAGTAGCTCCGCTGGGCAGGCAGAGAGGGGAAGGAGGAAGAGGAGCTGGGGTGGGGTGTGGGCAGTACCTTTGCCCTAGTCCCCCAGTGTGGGGGGTTAGTAAGGAGGGAGGCCTCCAAAAGACAAGGAAACTTTGGAAAGGAGCAAAATTTGGGGAGGAAGAAGGGCTCCATCCTCCATTCAGAAAGCAAAAAATCAAGAAATGACCAACATTGGACCCAGAAATTAAGTTGGAGAACAGACACTTTGAATTTGGTGTCATGTGCAGGGGGAAGAAAGTGGCCTTGGGTACCCTGGGGGGAGGGCAAGGGGATGAGCCCTCCCACATCTCCCCTCCTCTTCTCCTCACTGCTTGGGAATTGCGCCCCTGGTGTTGAGAAAGAGGGGTGCATCTGAGAGCGCCGGAGCTTGGGGGTGGCTGGGGGCGCTTCTGCTCCCTGTGAGCATGAGAGACCCCTCTAACTGGGAGTTAGGTCTTGGGCTTTGTCTTCCCAGGTGGAGAAGCAAGAAATCCATCACTGCTGGGGTTAACATCAATTAATTCAGTTGTTCCCCAGATAGACATTGGGCATCTTATTTCCTGCCAAGGCGCAGGGCCAAGTAGGTGTGCCTGAGGCTGGCAGCCAGTAGGAAAAGGTTCCATTTTCTTCCAAATTGCCCCACGCAGGAGCACCATAGGCAGCATGAAATTCTTAACTTATGACAGATCCCCTTCTACTCATTCAAGAAATATTTCTTGACTCACTGCCGTAGACTCAGCAATGGCGACTCCAAGGACCATTTAGAAACCCTCCTTTTTCCCATGGAGGAAACAGATCCTGAAAAAGAGCGAGGGGTGACTTTCCCTCTTGCAGACAGACTGAGGGCCAGACATTTTCCATCCACGGGTCTCTGAAACACCCCTATCATCCGGGACGGTAATGAGCGCCCTCTCCCTCCCCCACCCCTGCAGTGGGCAAAACACTAGTTTCACACCTTAAATGCTACATTAAACATTCACTACATTTTTTATTTTACCCTACAATATATCCAGTTTGAGTTTAATAAAAGAATAATGATATATACTTCTTACCACAAAGCAAAGTTGCTTCTCGAAGCCTCACACTGCTACAGCAAGGAAGAGTGGTAAGTCCCAGGAAATGCCATTTATGGAGCACCAGCTCTGTGCTAGGCATTCAGCCAGGCGGGTTGAATAGGTTATTCTATATAAGCCTCATGACAGTCCTGTATATGGTTAGCACTTTCTTAACCCCATTTTCTAGATGAAGAAATGGAGGCTCAGGGAGGCGGCATGACAAGGACACACAGCTAGTAAATGGTGGAGTTGGGGTTTCCCGTTGTCTAACGTTGGAGTGTTAGACTCCAATGCTTATGCTCCTTTGATTCATTACTTGGGAAGTTGTGTGTGTATGTGATTCCTTCCCTGTCCCATGTGACCAGCTAACGTGAAGCCTGGTGTGAATGACTTCTCGCTCCCCCACCTGGCAGGCTGTGGACTCTTGGCTGCCCTCCCCTGCCCTCCCCTGGACTGTGTCTCCCCAGGCTTGGCCACAGCTGTCAAGAGATGCCAACCTAGTTATTTGTTACTAAAATAAGTCAATCGCCTTATCAGAGTTCAGCTGCCCTTCTAGACATGCTCTCATTTGCAGGCTTGGGAAAAAAGGGAGAGGCTGCTCCTCATCTAAGAGACAAGTTAGGGCAATGCCCTCTGCCTGAAAATTAAGGAAGAGCCCCTGCAGAGTTCCTCACCCTACCTGCAAGCATTTTAGATGCATTAACCCAGCAGGACCCTCATCACATGCTCCGTGGAGGCCCCTGGTGTTTGGCAGGTTGTACGTGGCCCAGCGAGGGAAAGTCTTGAGGACCCAAGTGGTGGGCTGACATGATCCTTGACTTTCTCCAAGAGTCAAGGATCTTGAACGGAAACCCAGTATGGAGCTCGAGGTGATAGGCAGCCAGCCACCCAAGTGAGATTTCAGATCAGTCTACGGCGTCCAGGTTGATGGTTCTAAGCTGGGGTTCCCTGACACAGTGGAGGTGGTGGGAGGTAAGCTGGGCTTCCCCAGCAGGGGGTCCTGGCTAAGGGGCTGGGGCTGGGCTCTGCCAGGGCTGTCCCGGGGCTGTGGCTGGGCTGTGTTGGGCTGGGGCTCGGACCACTCTGGGCTGGGGGTGGGGCTCAGCTAGGGCTGAGACAGAGGCTGCAGTCGCCCCAGCACCTCAGTTCAGCCAGCTCAACCCAGAGCCTGAAAAGGAAGTGACTCTTGTGCAGAGCGAGCGGAAGCATGGCAGATGCTGTCAGACAAAGCATGGTTCTCAAAGGGGATCTTTTCTGCTTCAGAAAGAAATTCTGGGGGATTGCACAGCAAGAAGCTGATGACTCAATTTCCTTTGTGTCTCTGCTATTCAATAGGAAGCACACCAGTGTTCTTTAGAATGATCAGGGTAGGCTAGTGCCTCCTACCTTAAATTCGAACCCCACTTTTCACTCCCTCGGTAAGTTGAAGTTTTTCTTAAATTGCGTCCTCCCCTCAAAGCTGGCCATCAAGGGTTTGGGAAGCCAGACCAATCTGACAGAGTTAGGAAAGGGTGTTTTCTAGTTTGTGGTTGTGGAATCTGGCTTGGCATGGATAAAGTGATTGTGCATGCCAAATTTCCCAGGAGAGTCGGGATTTCCAATGTGCAAACACTCTACCCATTGACGCATAGTATATATTTTAACTAAGGGTCTTTATATTTTTCTACCAATGAATGTATGGCTTCGTGTGATTAGGAGTCAAAAACTTTGCAAGACGTTTTGCATAAATGAATTCACATTTATGTGATTCATCACATCACATCACGCGCCTTCATCAGTCTAGGGTCTGATTAAACTGACGTTTGGTTCAGAAAACATGGAGAAATACTGGGGAGAAATATTTCATATTCCTCTGCTCCCCACTTCCTGATCACCCCACTATGTGAAGTACCAAGACAAGCTACATATTTGATTCTTGCTGGCTGGATGTAGGCATACACACATTGTGGGTGTGCTTGTAAGTCTTTATGTGTCTGAGCCCATGCATCTACCCCTAATTGCTGGTCAATCCTTAAGCATGTATCACGTATCTTCTGTGGGTCCCACACTGTGCTGGGTACTACAGGGGAATTGCATGGGTGAGATTGGCACCTCTGGCCAAAAACCTTGTGGTACTATGTGTAGAACACAGTGCACCTGACTTGTCAGGCATTGTTGAGCTGACACACTGCAAGGAAGGCTGGAGGAATCAAGGGAGAGGAGGTGGCAGTAGGAACAAGATAGGATTTGAATCTATGAAGAAGCGGGAATGAAAACAGAGTGCGTCTCTTTCTTTACCCTGCTATTTATCTACCCACTCTCGAATACGTTAGTTAACCAGCCCAGAGAGTCAACAAACATTTTCGCAGTGCCCACTCGCTGCGCCAGCTAGCTAGGCACTGGGGGGCTCACTGTCAGAAGGCCACAGCCCTCGCCCCTGAGTAGCTAGCACGCGGTGTGCTATATGGTTTCCTGGGTACCGGCTGGCCGTGTACCTCTGGCTTCCACATACTAGATTCGGGTTGTGCACTGCCCCCCTCAAGTTGTGACAACCCCAAATGCCTCCAGATATTGCCAAATTGGTGGTGGTGGTGGTGGGTAAAGTCACCTCATGTTGAGAATCTGAGGTCATAGGATGGCAGCCACTCTAGTAAGCTCACCTCTGACAATGTGGTATCTGCTTCTCATAGGGCCCCATCAGGCGAGTAGAGGCCCCCTAGCCTCACAGGGCTAAAATTAATTAGCCTTGAAGCTTCGCAGTAAAATCATGCAGGGAGGCCTCTTTCACTTTGGGGCCCAAGGGGTGCTAATGACTTTCTTGCTTCTCAAAGGGGGAGAACCCAAAACCCGACACGCTTTCTCTTATCTGTCTTCTAGCACTGTGGGAGCCCCCTGACATCAGGGATTATGTCACATTCATTTCGTGCGTGTGTGGTCCCAGATCCAAGGGTTGGCCCTAGTTGCCAGTAACTGTTGAACTCAAGTGAATATCCAGAATACAGAAATAACCTGATCCTATATATGGAGGCATGCTGGACCACATATGTAAGACAGCAAATAGGTCTCTGTGTATATATAGTAACAGTGGTGGTGGCTGTTTTGCTCAGGGCAGGGGTGAGAAGGATGCTGGGCTGGTCAGCTGCCCACCACAGGGCTCATGTTCGGTCTGCCCAAACAGGGAGATCACCCATCTATTTGTGGTTTTGGTGGCTGCTTGCTGTGGCTGGGGACGTCTGTCTCAGGACAGGGTTACCAGCTTCTGGGACCAAGAAGGGAGTGGGAGCCAGGCAGGATGATGACACCAACCCCCAAATTTAAGCCTCAAAATAAAACCCTCCCCAGCAACGGCCCACTTGGAGGTCTGGTTATTTTGGAGATGCTGACCTGAGGTTGGACTCCTTGAACACCCCTCTGATCACCCCCCCTCCCCCACCATGCCTGCTTCTGGAAGGTGGTAGCAGCTGGGAGAGAAGCAGAGGAGCTTCACAGAAGATTCTCACCTTCTCTGTGGGTCTCCTGCTGCTCAGGAAGGGGCAAGGCTGCAGGGAGTCTGCTGTCTGCTGGGGAGCCACACTGGCAACAGCAAACCATGTCTCCTCTCTGTAGAAGCTTGCCAGGCCTGGAGTTGCCCACAACTGGGGCAGGTCCTGCCTCCCTGCCCCAGGGATCGTCTGTCCAGTGATATTCGGACACAGGGAGTCAAACGGAGAATGAAGGGACGGGTGTTGTGGGGGAAAAGACCATCCCGAAGCCAGATCTTCCTGAGCATGGTGTGCTCTGGCCGCCTGGGTGTGTCCACCCAAGGCAGGTGGCCCTCCTGAGTACAAGTGTGGGCAGACAGGTCCTGGGGGTGGGGTGGGGAGGGCTGAGTCACCGAGGAGGTGATTTGCAAAATTCAGGCCCCAGAAACCTTCGAGTCTTTAGCTTTTGAGAGTCAAGGTTAATTGCAAAACTCCAGCAGGGAGAGATGATTCACATTTGCTCTGGTGTCACGGCGAGTCTCCTCTGGAGGTGCCTGTCAGTTCATCTCCCTTCCCCACAACCTTTCTTGACAGTTAGAGAGCTCTTGTACCCTTTGCACTTGTTTCTTTGCAGTTAGTTGTATATTTTTGAGATTACGATCGGCACAATTAGTAACGACAGTAAATACTTAGGGGGCACTAACCCCTCTGTTTCCTAGATACTAACTTGTTTAATCCATACACCAACCTTCTGAAGTAGTGCATTTATTATCCCTGTTTTACATATGAGAACACTGAGCCATAGAGAATTTGAGTAACTTGTCCAAGGCCACAGAGCTGGTAAGTGATGGAGCTGACATTCCAACGGAGGTGGTTCAGCTACTGGGTCCAAGCTCTTAGTCACTGCATTACTGGGCTTCTCTTAGTATGTGAAGATGTCACAGCGCCCCCCCCCCCCCCCCCCCCCGCCAGAAACCCGAGTGGTGATGGCTGGTGGTCCTCTGGTTGTTTTCAGAAACTCCATTTGGAAATCAGGTGTGGGTTGAGTCACAAGGTCCACAGAGCTCGTCTTGCCCTGCCTTTCTCCACATGATGCCAGAGGAAGGGGATGGAATTGCAGAAATGAAGGAGAAAGAAGTTGTCATGGAAACTTCTCCCCATTCATACTCTGAGCAGCTTGTTCATTCCAATTCCTGGATAGCAGTTTTGTTCTCTTCTATGGGATGGGAAGTTGGGGAAGGGGGTAGGATTGAAAAGGTTGGTGGATCGAGTTGTTTGTGCATTATCACTTCATTACTTGTCCCTTGGTACAAGAGGTGGAAGTTGCTGATGGGGGTTTCTCCACCATCTAGGACTTTGGCTCGTGAATGGGCAAAGCTGGGAAAGGGGTTAGTCAAATAGCAGGAACATGCTTGCCCTCAGGGCAAGGATCCTTGGCCCCAGGGCCTTCTCTCTACCAGCTAGGATTGATGAGGGAGGGAGGGGGCTGAAAGAGGAGACTGTCAGGTATCAGGCTACACTCACCCTGGCATAAGGAACTGAGCAGATACTAGAAGTGGGCCCTTCTTCCCAGCCCCAGCTTAAACCTAAAGCTGGCCTGGCTTCTATGTGGCCCAGCAGATGACTCGTGCATGGGGCGGTGGGGGAGATGGGCAGGTTTTCCTCTGGGTGCTTTGCCTGAGAAACAAGCCACCCGGGAAGGATGGAGGCAGAGCCCCCTGGGGACGTCTGCCTCGTCTGTGTGCGTTTGGCCTGGGCTCGGAGACTCATCACAGATTCCTTACCCATTTGAATTTCACTTGAGCAGGTCTGCAGGGCCTTCTAGGACCCACACACCAGTCACAGATCTAGGCAGCATCTTTTACTACTTCTTCTCCCAAAGAGAACCTGCCGAGGTATTAGGGTGATGACAGTAAAGCCTAGCAGGTGTTCGTCATTATGCAAGTTGAGATGCCAAGGAGAAATTAACAATGCCATGCAACCGACACCTGGTCTCCTGCCTCGGGTCTAGAAGGCGGTTTCTGCACAGGCCCCTGGCCCCAGTCTTCACACACCCCAAAAGTACTAAATGAGGATCTCCTATCTGCCTGTCACAAATGATGGCATGGCTGAGTGTATCTGGCTCAGGAAGCAGAGTCTAGCAGAGCTAGGAGCTAGCTGCACACTGTCTTACAGCCTGCAGGAGACCGGATGATGTCACTGAGCTAGCCCCAGAGCCACCAGTTGGTTGCACGGTCACATTTTCCTGCAAAGGGAAGACAAGGGTTCAGGTACCGACAAGAGTGCTGGTCACACAGAGGTAGACCAAACATTGGAGAGGGAAGTGATGCTGCCATAGAAATCTCTTGCCCTGAAGTTCATCTTGCCTGTGGATCTTTTTGTGGCCAGACAAGTTGTCTTCCCAATGTCAGCCTTAGAGGGCAGGTACATCCCTCTGGGCTCACCAGAGTGACTTTTACTCGCCTCTATTGTCTTGTTTCTCACTGATAATTCATAAAACCCCCACGAGCATATCTCCATCTAAAAGAATGAAATTTAAGGGATGCCTCTGGGCTGTGTATGGCCATCTGTTCTCTTTCGCTGGTGGGCAGCGGAGCTCCTTAGGAAAAAGCTCATGCTTTATGTACATAATATATTTTTGTATTGCGGCAGCCCCCAGTTGTCAGTTCCCCAATTATAGTAGATGCTCAATAAATATTGGATGACTGACTGAATGGATGAAATTTCCAGATTTGGCAAAGCAATCTTTATCATTTGCCTTTTGTGATTTTTATAGATTCTGGCTAATTCTTTTTCATCCTTTTTTTTTCTTTTTAGTCTATAGAAACCTTTTAATTTTATTTTTTCTAGTGTCTCTTTTAGTGATCCTCAAACCTCCTTGAAACTGCTTTTCTCTGCATTCTCCCTAATGTGAGTATATCTTTCTTGAAGTTTGACATGTCAGGCAAGGTGGGGGAGGTTCAGAGCTCATTAGGTTTTGTCCAGTAGAACAGGGATCTTGATTTCCTCTAAGTCAGTCTGCCTCTATGCCCCAGCACTGCCTTCCAAATCTGGTCTCCTATATAAAAAACCCCAAGCCTCAAAATCATATTCTCAATGACACTTAGAGAAAAGACATTGGCTTTGGGTCACTCTGTTAAAAGAAAAAAAGAGGAAGTTGTTTCTTTCAATGGTTTAAAAACCTTCCATTCCAAAGATCACTTGTGAGGAATCAGAGATTTCGCATGGTGCACTGGTCATGAGGAGGTTTGGCTTTGGAGGAGGGCTGTGTAGAAGGAGTAAGGTCTGTGGAAAGAGCCAGACCTGAGGTTGATTCCCTTCTCTGCTGCTTCAGAGTGGTGTAAGCTCAGACAGTGTGCACACATTAAATGTCTAGAACAATGTTTAGCATGTGGTGTCTCATGCTAAGTGTCTAGCACTTAGAGGTGACTCAAGAATAGAAATGACTATTATATTATTCTATTTTACTTTGCTGAACAAACATTTCACCCTTATTTACCTCCAATTTTCCATGTATAAAATGAGAGGGTTGGATTCTAGTTGATCTGTAAAATCCTTTCCAGGCCTCACGTTCTATAAATCCACCACTCTGTGGGCCACGAACACCTAAGCCTCATAAGATTTAATGGAAAGAATAACACGACCATAATGCAGTGCCAAAAAAAAAAAAAAAGCGATACCTGGTTTGTATTAAATGTCAGAAGTGAATTATTAATCCATGCCAGAAACAAATTTATTGACCCAGTTGTACTCTAAACCCCAATGGGGAAGCATGATTCTTAGGAACAAGGTGCTTTGTTCAGAGGATTCAACTGAATCCTCTCAACCACTTGGAAATGGGCAGGTGAAGAAGCTTGGGCCAGAGAAGTTAGAAACATGTCTCAGTCACACAGCTAAAACTGCAGGAAGCCAGTCCTGGGATTACCTGCAGGATCTGAATGCAATACCCTTTTCCATAAACTATGCTTTAAAAAAACATTCCTTCAAGTGATCAGAAAAGCCAACCTGTGAAGAGGAGAAAAGATTATGTCCTTTACTCTCAAAGCTCCATGAGTAATGTGGATTTCTCAGCTTCCCTTAAGGAAATGCTGTAGCATGTTGGTGCAAAATGAACCACACTATTCAGCCAGAGCAGTGTATAGAGGGTGAGCTGTAGTATCTTATGGAAAATAACTAGGGTGGCCATGAGAACCTAAAAAAAAAAAGGCAAACAAAACAAACAAATATATTATATATATATATATATATATATATATATATATATATATATATACACACCAAGGCATTGGGCATGGCAGACCTTTGAGATGGCAAGTTGCTGCTTCTACTGAGAACATTCCAGATTCCTGCTAAAATATTTATTCCTTTTTCATAAACCCAGAGAGGCTCTTTTTGCTCAGGAAAGGGAAAGAAGGAGGACGGGAGGGAGAGAGAGAGAGAGAGAGAGAGAGAGAAAAGGAAAAAAGGAAGTCCTAAAGATAGCACTACTTAGGAGTTTGCCAAAGTGGGTCAGGGACTAAATGCCTTGTCAGGGTTCTGACCTTCTGTCAGTCCCTGAAAGTCCTTACTGAGATCACATCCATCCTGGGTGTGCCCATTTCATATCCATTTGGGATCCGCCAACCAGAAACCGAAATAAAATACCGGATGGGCTCTGTTCTCTTGTTGTGCGCAATGCCCTCAATTATCACTTGGTCATTGTGCCTCCAGCCCGTCCCGTAGACACCGCTTCTAGGAGAAGTGACAACTGCGTACAGCCAGCAGGGGTTTGCCATTTCTCCCACTTAGTCACAGAAGGACTGTGGGCAAAATTTATCCCTTACGGTTTGCCTGTTTCCCCAGTTGTAACATGGTGATGAACTCACTAATACGGCTCACTGAAAAGTGTAGTGTGACTGGCACGGTGCAAAGAAGTGAGGGAAGTGGAAGATCTAGTTTCTGTCCTCAGAGAGCTTATGGTTTGGTGGGAGAAAAGTCCAACAGGGAAGGAACCCTACAAGATGACGTGTCGTCAAGTGCCGGAAGGTGAGGAAAGGCAGACAGCTCTGTGAGCGGCAACTGTGGGAGCTTCATGCAATGAGTGGGACTTGAGGATGAGGTGGATGAGTGTGGGAGAGAAGACGGATGGAGAGGGGGAGAGGAGAGGTCAGCCCACGGAAGTGCAGAGCTTGAGCTGAAAGTTTCAAGTGACTGGGAGGCCCCGCTGAGGAACAGTGAGGGATGACGTCAGGCAGATTCCAGGTGATCAAGTGTCAGTGGCACTGTCGGCAAGATCCAATTCTGCTCCTGAGAAGTTCCCACAACACCCTCTTCGGAGCTGCTAGACGGAGTTCAGAAGTGGGGTTCCTGCGGGAACCTGCTCCTGCACTGCTTGGGATAAAACTCGGGCAGCTCTGGCTGGGTTGGGGAGTGGCAATTGAAGAGACTCCCAAACAAGCCCTGCAGCCCCAATAGCAAATAGATTTCAGCTTACATACCATTTCCCATCAATTGCTAGAGGCTGTCTGGAGGGCTGTGCTAAGAAGCCAAACCTTGGCTCGGCTGCAGAGGGTGCCGTGATCCATTAGTGATGTCTGCCACGGGCACGGGCTGGAGGAGTCAACGCTACAGTACGGCAGCAGGCTTTTCTGGTTTTCCTTACTGGTAGCTGCCTGTAACTGGGACGTTAGCCACTCAAATCTAGTGAGCAAGTCATTCTGTAGACTCCACCTCCTTCCAGAAGCGTATAAATTCAGTCTCTTACCCAGAGGAATTTGGTGGCTTGAGCCTTCTCCTAGGATTCATTTGCACTGTTTTCCCATTCACCCCAAGTGAAGTTAGATGCTGGGAGCTGGGAATCTCCTCTGTTTGAACCAGAGCCAGGCTCCTTGGCAGGAAGCCCCTTCTCCACATCAGCTTCTCCATCTGCAAACTGAGAAGACAAAAATGATGCCTCACCCATGGGGGTGACAGAGAGAATAGCTAGCTAATGTGAGTAAAGCCTTTGAAGATGAAAGGGTTGTATGTGCACGTTAATTACAACTTTTATCAGCCCTGGAGCCTCTGCATTCTCAGCTGCCACTCAGGGCTCTTCAGGGCCTCCCAAGTGCAAAGAGCACCAGCATTCCACAGATTGGCCCCTCTGGGTCCAGCTTGCAGCATCCAAGTCAAGTAGGCTGGATTCTGAGCTCAGGCTGGTAAGCCCATCCTGGGACGCTCAAGTTTCCCACTACTCATGCCCAAGAGAAAAAGCCAGCTCTCTACCTGGGCAGGTAAGATAAGATAGAACCAAGGTATAAACAAAAGGCTCCACCAGGAGTCTACTAGAAATGGCCCCCAGGTGAGATTAGGATACTGTGCTCTAATTCCCACCCTGTCAAAGCCTAATTGTGTGACCTTGGGCTACTGGCTTTATCTGTCTAATGCTTCAATACACTGTGTGAACCACCTGGGGATAATAATCCCTCTGCCTCCCCTGGACCTCTCCACCTTTGCCTGCTGGTGTGAAAGTGTTTTGTGCTGTGAGGCAAAAGCACGTGATTTGGAACCACAAGGTCCTATTATTACCGGAGGTAACTTTTGCCTTTATCTCTGTCTCCCGTTGCTGGTTGACCTCAATCACTGAAATTGTATTCTTCGGAATGTTCACCAATCTCTTCTGAGCTCCCATCCCCTGCTGGGCAGTGCTTATCTAGGAAGACCTGCTATGTGCTCAGGCTTCCTGGTTTTGCCATGTCCCGAGGCGTGGAGATACAGTCAGGCTGGCAGGGGCCTGGGGTGCCCTGTCAAGTTGAATCACAGTGCCCTTGCTAGGGTAACTCAGTAAAAGCCCTGGAGGAAGGGGTGGGAGGGTTTTTAGAGGCTTTGCTAGGGCCGGCTGGCCTGGGTCCCTACAGTAGCACCAAAGTATGGATCCAAGGAGGAAGGAGAGGAGAAAGGGAGGGAGGACCCTAAATGAGAACTTATCATGGGCTGGTGACTCGAAGCCAAAGACGATGGCATGTCAGAATGGGAAAGGATGCTAGAAATTCTGTAGAGCACTTGTTTATTGGACAGATGAGGGAAGGGCATCTCAAAGACTGTAAGTGACTTGCCCCAGGTCACATAACTAGCTAGAATCAAAACCCTGGTCTTCTGATTCTTGGTCCCGTACCCTTTCCATTTCATGCTTTGAGATGAGAGAGGGAAGGCACTAAAGGTGACAAGGCTGGCAAGAAGACAGGGGGGACAAAGAGAGGAAGCTAAAAGGGTACCGCGTTTTGTGGCGCAATGGGAAATGGTGTAGGTGTTTACACGCTGTTGGCGCCTTTATGGTACTTGGACCTGGTTTCCTGTGCCATACCTTGTATATCCATATTTGGTGTTCATCTCGATCCTTTTTGACTTAATGAGCATTTGGAAACCAGAAAGCCCAGTGCAACCCAGCCTGGCTTTTGCCCAGCCTCTCTGAGCAGTTCTGTGAGCTGAGTCAATAATCAGTGGTTTTCAAATGATTCATTTGTTCACACAACACGTGTTTATTGAACCGTAACATGTGCCTCATGTTCTGCCATGCACTGGGGACACAGTTTCTACTCTCATGGAACTTCTAATCTAGCTGGGAAGATGGAGAGTAAACAAGTGGTTACGTCCTTAGGGAATGACAGGGGTGTATGTTGCTAGAGGAAGCAGAGGGTCTTTGAGAGCCTGTCATAGGGAGACCTCATCTGATCGGGAGCATCAAGGGAGCCCGGGGGGCTGAAGAGCAGCAACTGTATTTACAGGATGTCCCCAGCTCCTTGGGGGCCCTTGCTGTTGAACTTCTCCACCCCATCAGTGCTCGGAACCAAGAAACTGTCTGGTGGGTGGGCTCAAAGCCTATCAGCAACTCCAGCCAGGGCTGCCCCTCTTCGGGCTGCCTCACACTTGGCTCACTGAGTAAGACAGCAAGAACAGAAAGTTCTACTCCTCAAAATTCTGAAAGCAGCTGGTTTATCATATCTGCCCTGAAATAGACAGTGGTGAAAAGGAAGCCATGAGACCCTCCAAGCTGGCTGAGACTTTTATTTATTTATTTTACTGAACGAGACTCTTAGAAGTATGTGTTGGGGGAGCAAAGGAACCCAAGTTCTGGGAAACAAAAAGTGTCATTTGATGTCAGAGTTATTTTAAGCCATGGGAAAAATTCATAATTTACTTAGGAATCTTGGATTAAGCCTGGGTTTAGGGTCAGATCTCACTGATTTTATTAGAAATTTCTTGGTTTTTTTGGGGGGAACACTTTGTTGATTGGAGCTTGGGCTCCGGGTTTGATCAGTGTAGTGTGTAGGGAGCGATTTGCAGGATGACTTCCAGCAGTCATGCAGGTGTGTCTGTTGGGTCTGGGCAGCAGGAACGGGCAAGAACCCTGGGATACGGATGTCCAAACGTCTGGCTACAAGGGCCTCACTCATTTATCTGCTTTGTTGCCGGTAACTACTTGGAGATGACCTGATGATGTGTCCCCCATGTAATTGCTATCTGTCACATGTTTCTTGGTATACCCATATCAGCACATGCCACCTGTATATGTCTGGAAGTAACAGAACAATGAAAGAGAAACCCTCACAAAATGCCATCTCCCATAACAAGAAGTCTTGGAGGTAGGACAATTTTAGGAGCTCAATGATGTTATCAAAGACCCAGTTTTCTTCTGACTTTCCACTCTGCCATGCTCATCATCTTCCTACAGATTAGCCTGCTTCGTAGTCTGACATTGACTCCCAGAGCTCCAGGCATCCTATGAAAAAAACAACAGTATCCAGCAGCAGAAGGAGGAACGTTTATTTACAATTTTCTTCTAGAAAATTAGAGGAATGACTTTTCCAGAAGTCCTTAATTAACTTCCCTTTACTTTTCATTGGAAGAACGGGGTCACAATCCATGAAATGCTCACACAGAGCCAGTCATTCTAGGAGAACTCTGACCACAGTGCTTGATTTAGACCAGTCATGATTCACCCACTGGAGCTGGGACTTGGGACCTCACACCCCCTGAAGCACAAGTTCAGGATTTTGAACAAAATCAAGATTCGGTTAGGAGAAGTTTGTTGCATTAATAACAATGTCTGTTACAATGAGTAAGGCCCCAGAGGGTGTCCACCCACCTGGTAGAGTTGTGGTTTGAGACTCTATATAGAGTAAAGAAAAAAAGCAAAGCTAAGTTCTTGTGTTCCTAAGCCACACCCTCAGCCTTTTCGTGAGAAGACACACCTAATGGATGGAGTTCACATGGGGGACACACTGCATTTTGAGACTTAGATGACTGTGATTTACACTCAATCATAATAGCTGTAACTTTATCCTTTTCTCTCTCCCCCAAAAAGCATATGGGGGAATAACCTTAAAACTGTTATAATTTATAAGAAATAATCAATTGTTTGCATACTTGAGCACTTTATTATTAGAAACTCATTACCGCAACCCATCTCGGCACTGCTGGAGCTACACCATGCATGAGGACCACTAATCTCTAGTGATCCATTTTAAAAGAATGACTATGACCTTGAATGAGTATCTCTTCCGGTAAATTATGAGATGATCACCCTCAAGGGAGACTGCTAGCTTCCCTTGTCTATAACTACACTCCTAGAGTGTTTTAATGTGTTTCGTGAAGTGTTTTCAGCTCCATTATATAACCCAGCCCTCAAATTAACTTCATGGTTAGCATTATTATCCTCCTGTATAGGAGACAAGTTTAATGACTTTCTTAAGGTCAGATAGCTAATTAATGCAGATTTGGGATTTGAACCCTAGTTTTCTACTCCCGGAGCTGATGTCTATGTCACCACATGGTGTTGGCTTCCAATGGACCTGACTTCCTTTCAAGGAGTCTAAAATTGACTCTTGAATTTTATGTTAATAATTGCTCTTTCGTAAGCAGGAAAATGCCTTCCTAATAGTTTCTTTGAGTCTGAAGTTCAAGGGTCTAACAACTTAACATTTTAATAAGCCCAAAGATGAACAGGAGGGTTTTCTGGGACAGTACTCTGCCTCCATGCAGCTAGCTCATGAATCTAATGGTATGGGAAGGAAACTTTGGGATTTTGTTTGATTGTTTGTTTTCCATTCTTTTTTTTTTTTTCACCCAATATCATTAAAGGATTCATGATGACTACATCCAGGGAAGAGAAGCCCAAGGGATGTTTAATGTGGACCTCAAGGATATGGTCCTTTCTTACACGGGAAGGGGACTGCTTGTTTTTGGTATCTAATGATGAAAGAGCTACAGTAAATGGATTCTATTAAACCAAATGATTTATGGCTTATTCTGAGGGTGAATGTCCTGACCATGAGGCTTGCTGAGCATGAGACTCGCTGGCTAGTTCCCAATCCACCTTCAGTTCTCAGCTGAAATGTCATTTCCTTGGAGAGATATCCCTTGGGGATAGCAAAGGTCTTGGAGAAGAAAGGCTTCCCTTTGGACAAATCACTCAGCACCCTGTACTTATGTTACAACATTTATTGTGTCATGTTGTTAACTTGTTTAATGTCTGTCTTCTCCTCTGGGCCATAATGTCCACTGGGACAGTGACCCTGCCTACCGTGCTCAGTGCCCTGGTCCACGTGCCCAGCACATGGGGGCTGAATGAAACCTTGTTGAATGAATGAAGTTGGCTGGAATTCTCTTTTCTGAAGGCCTGTATCTCCTTCAGTGTTGGGGTGGTTTTGTGGGATTGTGGTTTACCATCATGAATTCAAGCTGTAATCTCTAAATTTGACTTAAAAAAACAACACTCTGTCTGTCTGTCTGTCTGTATCTATCATCTGTATACCTACCTATCTGTGTATCTGTCTGTCTACTTACCTACCTGTGTATCTATCTATCCATTTATGTATCTGTCACTTATCTATTTGTGTGTGTCTCTATCATCTACTGAAAAATCTTTCTATTGAAATAGGAGACAAGCGCTTAAAAGCAAAGGAGGGTCAGCAAGCATGCCACATTTCTCATTCTCTCCTTCCTCTTCATTCATGGTGCACACACCCCCAAATTCCCACTTCCCCTCCTTGGCTGGCATCATCCAGTCTCGCCCATGATTTCCTGCAAGGGCACCAAAGGGAAGCTGAATATGTGGGATGTCTGGCCACTCAAGGTGGATGTGAAAGATGAGGGGGAAGCGTTTTCCATTTAAGCATAGGAAAAATAAGTCAGGGCTTGGGGGAAGCAAGGCTTCGGTCCTCTCAACTCTTCTCCCTGTGGCTCCCTCTGGGACATATCTGGGGAGGCTCTCTCTCCTTTCAAACAAGTGTCACCAGATGAGCCCCAGCCTTCTTCCTAAAGGATTGTTTCTCAGTCATCAGGAAGTGTACCCTATTATCTGTTTGAGCTTCCTGTCCTTTATATTGTTTCGGAGGCAGAAGTCAACAACCACGTTTACATTCTGCATTGTTTGCATTGTTAAAAACTGGAAAATTAATTTGGTTTCTTCTCCAAATGAGCTTCCCATTCCTTCTGGAAGACATTCAGAAAGAGACTTCACTTCAAACAGGCCGACAGGAAACAGTGTCTCTTAAAGCCAGGTTTCTGACCTGCTTCTAAAGGCTGGCTTTGAGGATGTCCACTCCAATTCCCAGGGTTCAGGGCCCGGGGCCAGCGCAGGCTGTCAGGGATGACCGGGGGAAGTTGAGTCTGGTGTCCTGCCGCTTAGAAAGCAGTGTGGGTGCTAGAGGTTGGCCTCGGTTGGAGTCCTGCTGCTTATCAATTATGTGGCCTTAAGCAATTTACATAATGTCTCTAAGCCTCAGTCTTCTAATCTTTATGATGGGGTAACAACACCTGCTTGTCGGGCGCTGTAAGGACGAATTTGCGCGAAGCCCTTGACAGAAGGACTGGCATGGAGAGAGCGTTCCTCAGTAATCCTTGTGATCGTTGTTATGATTAGACCTGGGACCGCTCCACCCCGCAACCCTCCCTTCATTCCTGTGGCCCTGCTCCAGAAATGCTTCCTGCTGCCTTTGGAAGGTTTTCATTCCATTTCTGGGCAAAACATCAGCCAGGGGACTCACATTTACTTTGGGGAGGAGGGCACACCAGAGAGCTGACCCCCTCGTGTGCTGACTGGAATGGGCCATGGCTGAGCCAATCCAGCAGGATGGGATGTTCCGGGAACCTTGGCTAGTGCGGGAGCTGGTGAAAGCGAATGGGGAAATGTACTGCAGGTCTGGTCTTGCCTCGCAAAATGACAGTCAGCCTTCCAGGCTGCTTGTCTCAGCAGGATCAGCCTCTTCCTGCCTTCAGTCCTGGGAGCTGGTGGTAGGGCCGTTGGAGGAGGTGGTATTTTCCTCCCTCTCAGGTCGAAGCGTCTTGCAGTGCTGTTCTCCAGCCTCACAGTATGGAAGGGCTCTTAGGGGCAGTTTAATGCAGTAGCTTCCTTC